CGGATCCATGTTACAGGAAAAGCCTTGACAGCTGCCCAGGTGCTCTGATGAGCTGGTTCTTCGCTCCATCGGACTTTCCTATTCATCCTGCCCCAGGTGTGACTTATGAATGGGCTTTCATCTTCCCATCTTTGATGACAACATTGCTGCTCACAATCCTTCCCGACTTTCTTTGTTCTCACACCTTACTTTTCAGGAGCAAATCAGTGTCACAGATTGTTGTAAGCAATTTATCAGAAATCCTAAGAGCCTTAAAACCCTAGGCTGAGGATGTAGCTGTGCGAAAGAACACTTGCCTGACACTGAGGCCCTGGCCGTGATTCTACCCTGCAAACAAAACAGCCCACCAGTGCACGTAGCTTTGATGTCTTCTGGGAATCTCATCTCAGGAAGCTATCTGAACGGCACATAAAACAAGCACACAAGCCGGGCGGTGGTGGCGCACGCCTTTAATCCCAGCACTCGGGAGGCAGAGCCAGGCGGATCTCTGTGAGTTCGAGGCCAGCCTGGTCTACCAAGTGAGTCCCAGGAAAGGCGCAAAGCTACACAGAGAAACCCTGTCTCGAAAAACCAAAAAAAAAAAAAAAAAAAAAAAAAAAACAAGCACACAATGTCTTCTGAGGTATTCTTCCCTTGGAACCCTACTCTCATGGATTTTCACCACTTTCCCTCAATAAATATATGTTCAATCAAGCCGGGCGGTGGTGGCCCACGCCTTTAATCCCAGCACTCGGGAGGCAGAGGCAGGTGGATCTTTGTGAGTTCAAGGCCAGCCTGGACTACAGAGTGAGTTCCAGGAAAGGCGCAAAGCTACAGAGAAACCCTGTTTCGAAAAACCTGTGTGTGTGTGTGTGTGTGTGTGTGTGTGTGTGTGTGTGTGTGTATTCAATGTGCTAAAAAATAATAAAAGTTTATGGGGCATTATTTTTACTTCCATCCTAAACAATCTTAAGAATACATAAAAGTAGGCTAGCATACTGAACCCTCATATATCTACCACCCACATTCAATAATTCATGGACACATTTGCTTCAATTTACTTAAAAAACATTATTAAAAAGCTCTAATTGGACTGGGGTGTAGTTTAGTAGTAAAGTACTTGCCTGGCATGCTCAAGTCACAAAATAATAAGTATCCATGCTTACGTGTTTAAAATAAAATCCTAGCTATTACTTTATTTTTATCTGTGCATAGTTCCATGTACATTTTTGAAAGACCTGGGCAGCGTTTATATATATATATATATATATATATATATATATATATATATATATACATATATATAAAATATGTATATGTATAATATATATCATATATATATGATTTATTGTTTGTTTTTTGAGACAGGCTCTCTGAACTCACTATGTAGACAAGGCTGGCCTCCAACTCAGAGAGATCCCACTGCTTCTGCCTTCAGAGTGCTGGGATTAAAGGCGAGCACCACTATGCTTGCATCAACAGGTTTTTTAAACACAAGCTACATCCAGGATATGTGGAAAGAACAATACCCATTCTGCAAGCAAATGTCCCAATTTATTTCTAAATTGTATATTCTCAGTTGTTTTGTTCAGGTCCCCCCAGACAAGAGCCACACATGACATGCAGTTGTAGGAGCTCTTACATCTCTGAACCTAGAGTGAAGACCCTCCTGAACAGTTTCCATGACACTGACAAACCCAGGTCACTTGTGTCCGGTTTGGGATTGGCAAGGTTGAACTGTAAGGACAGGTAATGTGATTAAATTGCTAGCAATCCATGGAATCAGCTTAAGGATCAAAGGAATTTATTTTGGGGTAAATTCACAACCATGGGAGATTTACTGTAGGGTCCAGGAAAGCTGAGCTATGTCCCATGCTGAATGACTTGGTCTAAGATCTCAGTATCCAAACTACCGGGCAGCCAAGAGAGAACACTATTCGTGCATCCCAGGGGCAGGTACCCCAAGGTCATAGGCAGGTGTAACAGCTACAGCTGCCTCACTAGGGGTGGTGCTTCAGGCCATGGCTCCAACAGCTGCCCACTACAGACAGGCAGCTCCAGAAGCTCCCAAGCACAGAACAGTGACGCCTTCCAATTTGTAGCCAGAGGCTTTTATGCGTCCTGCCAGGTCCCACAGCCGTTTATAAAATAATCACTCAGAGGCTTACATTAATTATAGATGTTTGGCCGATGGCTCAGGCTTATTACTAGCTCTTAAAACTTAAATTAACCCATTTCTATTCATCTGTATTTTGTCATGTGACCGTGGCATTACCGGTCTGCTGGCATCTTGCTCCCTGGGTGGCTGAATGGCTTTCTGCCTCAACTCTGCCCTTCTTTCTTCCTGTATTCTGTGAGGCTTTCCCGCCTAGCTATATTCTACCTTGCTATAGGCCGAATCAGCTTTATTTATCAACCTATGAGAACAACACATAGTCACAGCATACAGAAAGACAGACAGAAAGACACAGCACCCATTCCTACACAGCCAACTCAGGTTAAGCCTGCTATCTATAAGCTATTGGCCTCACTCCCAGACCCAGACTGGATTTGCTACAGAACACTGCTGGCCATAGGAGCAACAGAGAAGAGTCTTGAAGGGTCTCACCAAGGCAATTTTAGTGCTTAGCCTTAAGTATATTACTCTTCATCTCATTGGCCAGAACTGACCACATGGCACTACCCAAAGGAGGCCAGGAAGTCACAGGGACATTTCAGTTTGCTGCATTAATGGCAACTTGTCTATTTATCTTTCTTCAACTACCCTGTGAATTTCCTGAAAATAGAAGTTAATTTAGAGCTCAATGAGATTCAAGCTCAGTTATTTTGGCCAGAGTATCTCACAGGCTGCTGGGTGCTTCACACCAGGAGAAACTCAGTATAACGGATTGTAGCACTGACAGCCCTTGGGTAGACATGTTTATTGTCACACTGTGACATGATCTGGAAATCAGGGCAGACTGTAAACAAGCTTGCACTTGGGCTTTTTCTCTCCCTCTCTTGATACTTTTTAGAATCATTGAAGAGGCTCAGGGTAGACCACTGTAGGAACTTCCTGGGGCTGAGAATTATCCCAGCTGAGGTCACCTAGGTCCAGCAAACCTTTGTTATCTAGACTAAGTTGCCAGGGGACCGCAGACATCAGCCAATCAGGTGCAAACTAGGAAAAAACCTGCCAGGATTGAGAGGTGAAGCTGTTGCTGCCTGCCAGGGCATTTTGGCTTGTTTGTAACTAAGCAGAAGCTAGCTTATACATACATCACTTAGCTCAAAGAAGCCAGTGAGTCCCGACTCTATAGGAAGCTAGTGAAGGCTTGCAAGAGGAAGATGCAGGGAAGAGCCAAAGCTGGGGCTGGAGTCTCTACTTGTTTGGGGAAGTAGTCTTTATTCTGTTAAGACCTCCAAACAGCTAGGCAAGGCCTAGCACTTTATGGAGTGCAACTTTATTCAAAACCTACCAATTTAAATGCTTAGTTTATTAAAGGTGAACACTTTCACAGAAGCACCCAGAAAAATGTTGACAAATCTCTAGTCACCATAGCCAAGTCCACTGATAAATAAAATTAACCATTATAAATATGTAGTGGGTTGAACTTCATCCCCCAGATGACATGATAAAGTCATACTAACTAGAGTCCATGTGCTGTGGATATTGCTCTGTATAAATAAAATGCTGATTGGCCAGTAGCCAGGCAGGAAGTATAGGTGGGACACGGAGAGAGGAGAATTCTGGGAAGTGGAAGGCTGAGGCAGAGAGACACTGCCAGCTGCTGCCATGACAAGCGAGAAGTAAGGTACTGGTAAAGCCATGAGCCATGTGGCAACTTATAGACTAATAGAAATGGGTTAATTTAAGATAGAACTAGATAACAAGAAGCCTGCCATGGCCATACAGTTTGTAATCAATATAAGTCTCTGTGTGTTTACTTGGTTGGGTCTGAGTGGCTGTGGGACAGGCAGGTGAAAGATTTGTCCTGACCATGGGCCAGGCAGGACCAGGAAAACTCTAGCTACAGCCATGAGTGTGACCTTACACTGGGCCCCTCAGTGCAGATATGACTAGTTGGGATGAGCTCACACTGGGCAGGGTGGACCCTTAATTCAGTAAGACTGATATCCTCAGGAGAGACACGTGGAGACAGGCAGCCAGAGGGAAGAAGGTGTATTTTCCAATTGCTTTATAATTTAGCTTTTTGCTCCACTGGTTATTTAAATAAAATAAAACACTAATAAGACATAGTCAGAGAAGTCTTATTCAATGGGTCTATCCACTAGGTTCCTTGCTTCATAAAAATATCAGGACTTAAAATGATGTCAATAATGACTGTTTTTGGGAAATAAAGATTATGTTTTTTAATCTTTCTTTGACATCTTTTCAAATCATAAATAAGCAAAAAAAAAAAAAAATTCCGCCTGTCGGTGGTGGCGCACGCCTTTAATCCCAGCACTTGGGAGGCAGAGGCAGGCGGATCTCTGTGAGTTCAAGGCCAGCCTGGTCTACAGAGCTGAGTTCCAGGAAAGGCACAGAGCTACAAAGAGAAACCTTGTCTCGAAAAATCAAAAAAAAAATCACCAAAATTAAGACAAACAATCAAAAAAAAAAAAAACTAAACTAAACTAAACAAACAAATCAAAAAACCAACAGTAACAAAAAGAAAGAAACAAAAACAAAAACAAAAGCCCCCAAATGGGCTCACTTTTTAGTCTGGCTGGGTCCCAGCACTGTACCCACACCTTCCCCGAGTTCTTCTCCTCCCTAGCCTCCCACACTGTGGACTGCTTACACTGCTCACTTAGCTTTTGCAACAATCCCTTAATAAATTAGAAACTTAGTGCAGATGAGCCCTATAGGAGATGCTATGGAGGCACAATAAATTGTAAGGTTTTACATGGAGTCATTTCCTTGAGTAAGCTGTATACTGAGTCAAAATTTCCTCATCACCTCCAGCACTGCCTATTCATGTAACCAGAATTTCTTTGCCAAAATAATGAAGAAAATATGAATAAATATGGAAACAGAGTGATACAAATCTCTTTAATCAAAGACAACTTTGTGTTTCTATAAATATATTTTAAAAGTAGTTCAGAGCATTTTGCTGTAATTACTAAGGAAGATTTGAGACTGTTAGTCCCTCCGCAGAAATGCTATGCACAGATGCAAAATGATCGAAGGCTGAAACAATGATGAATCTCAAGAAAGTGGCGTAGCCATCTCGTGCCTGTAAGGAGGAAAAAAATCAATATTAATGCTTTTAGCAATCCTTGCAAACTATTAACAGGCAATTGGCAGAACAATGGCTTTGATGAAGAGTAACTTTGTCGTCGTGTCGTGTCCCCCCCCCCCCCCCCCCGCCCCCCGAGACAGGGTTTCTCTGTGTAGCTTTGCACCTTTCCTGGATCTCGAGCTGTAGCCCAGGCTGGCCTCGAACTCACAGAAATCCGCCTGGCTCTGCCTCCCAAGTGCTGGGATTAAAGGTGTACGCCACCACTGCCCAGCCTGAAGAGTAGCTTTCTAACATATAACAAAATATAATCGTGTTCAGAAGACAAGCCAGCTTTGTCTAGTAGTTGTCTGGGAGTGATTCAGCATGGTATCTATCACTCACGGTTTTATGAAAAACAGTGGAAGGACTATAAACTACAAATGTACATTGCTGAGCAACTCTGTTTTACAAGTGTCTTTCTAAAGTACTATTCATACTAAGCAGTTTCTGTCAGTTAGTGATGCTTTGGAAATATACTATCCTGAAGCATGACTATACTTTCACATTTATATAATTTCCCTAGAAACCAATTTGGCAATATATGTAAAAAGCCATAAAATATATATACTCTTGTACCCAGCAATTCCATTCCATGAAATTTAATCCTAGAAAAAAACGTGAAGGTCATAATGCCTAGAGCATATATTAATGTTCGCTTTGAATTACTTGTAATGACAGAAAAATATATTAGCTTAAATGTATGTAAATACATACACAGTACCTTAAAACATAATTATAAAGCTTGGAATACAATATTAAGTTTAAAAAGATGATGTAAGGTTTTCTACACATTTTTGTTGTAACTATCTGAGGTCTATGGTTAGCAGTAGAAGAATGAATGGAGTCGATCTGCTATGACAATAATAAAAGTGTGAATGGCATCCAGCCTCCCATTCTGCCTCCTGAAGAGCAGCTGTACACCAACACTGGCACCTAAACACACTTGGAGTGTTTTACTAGTTCCTGTTTGTTTAACGAGGGCATGCCAAACTAGCAGAGACAGAGGAGTCCTGATGAAGCAGCAGCTTCCATCCGTCAGTGGGCATTCACTCCACTTGACAAGGAGAGCCCAATGGAATGCGGTCAGAAAACACGGGTTCTCTTTCCACTTCAGCTCTCTCTGGCTTATTTGTTGCTGATCCTATGCTCTAGTTCCCTTATCTAAACCTCTCTTGTCCTTTCACGCGTAATTAACATCCATCTTTGACATCTCAACCCTTTTAGTCTCCCATTCTAAACAGCCTAAAGAATCAAATGAAAAAAGTAAATACTTTAAAAATAAATGATTGAGCAAAATAAAACAAATAAATGAATTCAATTGTTGTATCCATGTAGCCACTTTCTCCAGGATTGGTTGAAAAAAAAAGAGCCTAATTAATAATACATTTAGCTAATAATATCATTGAGAATAATCTCTAATAGTTAAATAGGCAAAGAACTGCTAATACCATGAGGATATTCATCATGAATAATTCATATTAGGAAAGTTTAAAATTTAAATTGGGCTCACTAAAGATAATCTTATCCCTACAGGGTATGTTCACTCACCACAATTTCTTCATTTTGAAGCTGCCCTTCTGTGTGTACTAAATCTAAAACACAAATTTAATAGAAATACATTAAGGTTCAAATATATAAGGATAGCTATGGAAATTTGTGCCCAGCAAAATGTGATTATTTGGCAAACTATAAGTTACGGCCAGATTTAAAGGAATTATCATTATTTGGGGGTTGATTTAAGACATATGACTTTAAAAAAACTAATGAGCTATAAAATACCTCTAGTGAGTATAAACAAAAGACAATGCAAGTATAAATACTAAAGAAATATAAAGCAAGAATTGATAAAATGCAGAAGCCCCTGCCCCTTTTATTGACCAAGTTCTTAATAGCAATTTCAGATTTTTATGTAAGGAGCCATTTTTCCCACAGGAAAATTTCACTGTGATGTAGAACGGCCTGTGACATCATCTCTCCTGGTACTCAAATTTAATAACATATTACTGGAATCATTTATTTAGCCATGAGTTAATTATATTGAGTATTCTTTCAGAAATATCAACTATTTAGTTAATATAATAACACCTTTTGACATTAATTTATACCAAATAATGTACAGAATTTCAAAAGCTACCCAGGACCAAAGGGGAAGACTATGGAAAGCAAGATCCTGGAGCCTTTTTTTCTGCTTCTTAATGCCTTCCTTAGATAATAGAGAACTATTGTCCCCTGTTTCCCTGTGCCTTCCTCTCTAGGTATGCTCCCCAGCAGTAAATGTTTTCCACCGTCTAGCCTGGTATTGTAGTACACACCCGGAATCCCAGCACTCAGGAGACTGAGGCAGGACTGATTATAATAAGCTCCAGACCAGCCTAAGCTACATATAGAATAAAAACCTATATAGAAATTGGTGGTAGGAGGTGGAGGGTGGGAGGCTTCAGAGATGGCTCAGTGGTTAAGAACACTGACTATTCTTCTAGAGGACCTGGGTTCAGTTTCCAGAACCCACATAGCAGCTCACAACTGTCTATAATTACAGTCCCAGGGGATCTGATGCCTACCTTCTGGCTTCTGTGGACACTAGGCATGGATGTGGTGCACAGATATACATGTAGACAAAACATCCATACACGTTAAATAAATACTTGTTTTTTTACATGTAGCTTGGTTTTTTTCTGGAATTATAATATGTTTATGCTCTCTATTTATTTATAAGTTAAGTTATATTGTGGTAAGTAGAAATCTAGGTTTCTTAAACCATTATCAACTTCCTGGTCTAACTAGATGAATAGCACACTGCTAAAATAAGAAACCAATTATGAACTAGTCTCATTCATACTTTCTACATCACCTGCTGCTCTCAAATTCTAGGCCTTCCTGGGGTTCCATGTAATAAATTAGCTTACTTCTTGGTATTACTTGGTTACAATCTAATCTTCTGTGTTCCAGAATTTATGGCTGTCCCTCTGGCAATAATACCTATTGATCTACATTTGGCTGGTTCACTAGGCTGATGTTTTCTTTTCTCCCTAAAGTTTTACATGTTTTTATTCTACTGTTTTCACAGTATTTGCTAAGAAAAGGAGATAGACACATGAGGTCATTAGGTATGTTTGTGCTTAAATGGAGGATAGCAATTTAGCTGATGATGTTTATCAAAAGGAACTTTTTTTTTAAAAGAGACTCACTATGTCACGTTGGCTATCCTAGAAAGATCTATGTAGATCAAGGTGGCCTCAAACTCAGAGATTCCCCCTGCCTCTGCTTTCTGAATTGTGGGATTGAGGACGTGTGCTACCATGCCCAGCTCAGCTGATATTTAAACAGTATCATTAATCAGGAAGGAAAGGTACAAAACTAATATTTGTTTGCTTGTCAATATATAAGCCACTAGTTCTCAAAAGCCTTAAATGTGTCTTCTCTATTTTTGATAACCTAAATTTTGAAAATGTGAATCGTTATATAAACAATAAATGAAGAAGACTACAAAATGTGTGTTTTTCTAGGCCTTACCTGTGTTAAAGAATCATTAAAATTACCTTTTATTTACCAAAATGCAGGTGGACCAACAGCAGAGTCAGAGGCCAGGCATCTACTCATGCTCAGAACAATGTTGGCAACATACCTACCCTTTTCAACCCACTGCTCAAAATCGAATGGCTCTTTAGACGTGGTCTTTTCGATCCTCAAGGTCCGCACTGCCATTATAAATAGACAGAATAAATAAAGATGTTAATTAGCTATTGAATTCTATTTTGTTGTTTCTGTTCTTCTTTTCCCTGCTACTTGACTACCATAGATTGATGGGTACTACACAAAGTGCTAGGACCAGGAATAACAAATCCTGGAAGCTACAACTGTTTTTCCATAAGTCCCTATGGCAAAATGTAACACTGTATAAGGCAATCTTGGCAGTGTTTAACACTACAGAGCACAAATCTAATAGAGCTTTTCTGAATCTGGTTATTATCTGGAGCATTTATATACTGGTTATATTTCTAGTAGCCTGGTCATAAGCCTTTATGGAGAACATGTTTTGAGTCAGGTATGTTCATTCTCTCTTGGCTGAAGTCTTTATGAGAAAGGTATTATTAACCCACTTTCCTGATAAGGACACAGGCTTACAGAAGCCAGGCAAGGTGTCCAATGGACTAAAGCTAGTAAATGCAGAACAAGAGTTCACAGATGAGGCCTGTCTGGCTCTAGAGCCTCCATAATTCATGGCAGAAGCATAACAAGCATGCAGAGATCTTCTTTATGCACAGGCTTTCCTCCATTGTTTCCATGTGACCTCCCAGAACCATCCTTCCCTTTCTCTGTCCTATTCTGGAGGGGCTGGCTTCTATAGATTATATCTTCTAGACTAACTTACCGACTAGCTTCTGGAAAGCACCAGAAGATTGGAGGGCAGAATATTTTATCTACACTCTGTCCTGCTTCATGCCAAGTCTTTGAGAGTGGTCCTGTCCCTTCAAGACTATATAGCTTCTGATAGCCAGGCCCCTCTGTACAGTCCCCAAATCTCCATGGGATCTGGTAACACTTTCCTTTCCTTTCCTTGTCCCAGGATAGCCGTGGCTCCCTACTGTAGCTAGTTTCTGAGAGCCATTATCCTTTATTCATTCCTGCATCCCAGGCCAGAATTTTATAAGTAGATCTAGTAATAAAGTTTCTTCATTTGAAACATCTGGGATCTATTCTGTTTCCTGCCATGATTCTTTCTGTCTAATACATTTTATCACAGATAGGACTTGATGTTCTGAGGGGAGAGTCCACTCTTAATCCCCAGAAAACGTCATTAGCAATAGAAGAAGCGAAACTATCCAATGGGAATAATTGGGGTTATCAGATTTACCGAAAGAATCCGAGAACTACAGGCTAAATGAACCTAGGATGAAGATGTCACAGAATCTAGTATCCTGGCAAGCCAGCTTCGTACATTCCTAATAGAATCTCTGCCAAAGACTCTCCCATAGTAAACTGCATGGAAATTATGATGTGCTTTGGAAGGGCTTCAAATTTACAGTTTAAGAGAGGCTAATTGTGCTGAGGGCAGTTAACCCATACTCTCTACCTCCCATTTCAGCAATAAAACTAGGTCCATGCTATAAAGAAAAACTAGTTTTTTGGCCAAAAGTTGACATGCGTCCTCTGCCTGTGGGAAAATAATACAAAATTAATGTGTGACTTGCTTACCTAAATAACTTTGGATCACAAGCTTTTCAATCTTTACATGTTTGTGAAAACAAATAATGAACTCCTGGGGAAACATGCCCGTGGTGGTCCAAAAGGTTTCTGGATTCCTAATGTTAATTTTAAAGGAATAAAAGGAATAGGCAGATATAAAAATGTAATCATAATGTTCTAATGAATACATATTAGAAACAGCTACTGTCTTATTTTACAATCCCTTTCTAACTTGGTTCTGTCTATAATCTCCCCAACTTTAGTACCCTCTTTTTACTCCTAATAGATATTCTCTTCTAAAATGCTGCAGCAGAACTGATGTTCCTTCCATCTAAAAGCCTTCAGCAGTCCCCTATTGCCTATAAACCCAACCTCTTTAGTTCCATCATTAAAGTATATTGCCTCCCATCACGACGTCATCCCATTACTGCTGCCACAGCAAGCTGCTTACAACTCTCAAACACATCATGTAGACTCATGCTTCTATATCTAACTTAATGAGTTCTCTTGACCCCAAAGCCCTTCTTCCTCTTGCAAAAGTTAATGGTCCCTTCTCCAGCTCCAGCAGATGACAATCATGTCCTCTGTGCTTTCCACTTGCCTCATAGCATCCGTTCCTACCCTAGACATGTATCTCTTGTGCTTTTATGGCTCCTATGGACCCAGACACTTGCCTTTCTTTATTTTTAACATGATCTTTTTTAAAAAAAAGATTTATTTATTATGTATACAGTGCTCTGTCTGCATGCATGCCTGCACACCAGAAGAAGGCATCAGCTCTCACTATAGATAGTTGTGAGCCATCATGTGGTTGCTGGAACTGAACTCAGGACCTCTGGAAGAACAGCCAGTTCTCTTAACCTCTGAGCCATCTCTCCAGACCCAATCTTTCTTTATTTTTATGTTCCTAGTAACTATTATAGTTGGGGACCTATAGTATATGAACAATGTTTGCTAGAAAAAAAACATGAAGTTTCAAGTCTCATACACACACACACACGTTACATGAATATAATTTCTATAGTCAATACCATATATGAAATCGCCTGTTGCAGGTATGGCATTGGCTATAGGAATAATCATTTCTATTTTAAACAATATAATCCTTTTCTTCCTTTCTTGGGGAGTAAAAGTTAAATACAATGAAGTTTAAGTGTAATGAGTTTTGATAAATGTATATTCTCATGTAACTTATTCACTAAGGTAACCAATACCCACAATGAGGGTAGAGAACATTCCCATGACTCCAAAAATTCCCTTGTCTTTCTTCTAGACAATTTTTCCATGCCCTTAGCCAACAACTGCTTTGATTTCTATCATGGACCATGCAATGGTGTATGCAATGAACATTACATTATTCATTCGTTGCAGGTTTTTTTTTTTTTTCAGTGCTGTGGAGTGAATGTATGTGCTATAGGCAAGGGTTGTACTGCTGAGCTTCACCCTTAGCTTGTTCTGTCTCTGCTTCCCCACTGACCCAAGATGGAGTTTCTCTGTGTAGCCCTAGCTGTCCCTGGAACTCACTCTCTAGACCAGGCTAGCCTCGTACTCACAGCTATCTGCCTGTCTCTGCCTCCTGAGTGATGGGATTAAATGCGTGCACCATCACTGCCCAGTACTTGTACTGTCTTTTTGAAGCAAGGTTTCACTAGGTTGCTCAGGATGGCCTGAAACTTGCTATGTAGCTGAGGATGACCTTGAACTGTTCATCCTCCTGCTTCTACATCTCTCTACCTCCCAAGTGCTAAGAGTACATGTATGCACCACCACACTCAGTTTACACCATTCTGGGAACTAACCCTGGGCTTCATGCATGCAGGCAAGCACTCTACCACCTAAGCTACGCCTCCAGCTTCTGTAAGTGAAATTTACAGTTTTACTTCCAATTAACACACAGCAATACAATTGATTTTAATAATTCCTTGATTTTTGTATCCACTGAGTTTACTTACTAGCTCTATTAATCCACACCCCCACTTTTTTTCTTTTGAGTCAGGGGGTTGAGACAGGGTTTAACTGTGAAGCCCAGCTTGGTCTTTATGCTCCTACCTCAGCTTCTCAAGTGCTTGGAATAGGCTTTTGCCATCATGACCAGTTTTTTGTTTTGTTTTGTAGATTCTTTGGGGTTTTTCACATCATCTGTGAACAGACAGTGTTACTGTTTCTCATTTCTCTCCCTTTCATGTCTCTTTTTATCTTACTGTACTCACTGAGATCGCCAGAAGACAGAACCAGCAAGGACTTTTCCAATCTTAGGGGGAAAGTAGTTCCAGTTTGACCACTGAGCTGAAAAGTGTCTTTATCAGACTGAGAGACCCTCTTCTCTTAGGGTGTTGAGACCAGACACCAAAATGAACAACAGATTTTGTCAAATGCTTTTCTGTCTTTCTTGATATAGGATTTTTCTTTCCAGGATATCATGCATATAGCCTAGGCTACCCCCAAACTCATTATGTAGCCGAGACTAGCCTTGTACTTCTGATCTTGCCTTTACCTCCCCAATGCTGGGGTTACAGACATGTGCTCATTCTACTAATATGGTGAATTATTCTATATTTCACCTTGTATTCCTGTGATATTATGCATGGATCAGTCTTGTATTCCCAGGGTAAACTACACTTTTTGGATTCCATTTTTGGGGTTTTCATGTTTTTGTCTTTGTTTGGTTGACACAGGGTCTTGCTACAAAGATTAGGCTGGCCTCAGCCTGGAACTCATGATGCTCCCGCCTCAGCCTCTCCAGTGTGAGGATTGTAAGAATGTGCTACTACATTCAATTCAATTTAAAATATTTTATTAAAAACTTTCAATTTACTTTCAGAAAGAACACTGGTCTTCAATATTCTTTCTTGTAATGCTCTGTCTGGTTTTGATAATAGGATAATAGGAAATCCCCCCCTCCCATCTGTTGAGGATTGATTCCTAAAACATGATAGGCAAGCACTCTATCACTGAGCTATACTCTAGCTTTGTTTATTTTTAAAAGGATTTGTAAAATATTGATATTTCTTCTTTGAGTATTTGATAGTTTCTATAATGGGTAGGTGTGTGTTCAAGTTTTCTACTTCACCTTGTATCATTTAATTTTTACATTTTATTTTACGTGTATGGGTGTTTTCCTGCATGTGTATCTGTATACCATGTGCACACAGTGCCCATAGAGGCCAGAAGGGGGCATCGGATCTCCTGGAACTGGAGTTACAAACTGCTGTGAGCTGCAACATGGGTGCTGGCAACTGAACCAGGAAACTGCAAGAACAGCCAGCGTTCTTAACTATTGAGCCATCTCTCCAGCCCAACCCTGTGTTATTTTTACAGTTTAAATTACTTAAGGCTTGTCCCTTTCCTCTAAGTTGTTAAATTTATTTCCTTAATTTTGTTATTTACAATGTAATGGCTATTCTTTCAGACTCTCTATTAATATGGTTTCTTTCTTTTTAGTACCGAGTATTTATGCTTTCTGTATTTGTTTGCTTGTTGAAACGGAGTCTGTATATGCAGCTTTGCTGGCCTTGAATTTAGGAGTCTCCTGTCTCACCTCCTGAGCACTAAAATTATAGATCAGAGCTGGAGATAATACTTAAGGCTTCATGCATGCTAGACAAGCAGTCTACCAACTGAGTGACATCCCAGCCCTGTTATACTTTCTTCTACTTTCTTTGGGTTTAATTTGTTCCTTTTCCTAGATTCCCCAGTTGAATATTTACATTGGTTTTATTTTTTAACTTCTTTCAGACAGGGCCTTACTATGTAGCCGCCCAGAGGCCTTCTGGATACTAAGATTGCAGGTGTGAGCTAGCACTCCCAGCTAAGAACACTTTCCTCATGACTTCAGTCTTCTGAGGTTGATGGGACTTATTTTCCAGTACACTTCAGGGAAATTCAATGTGCACTTGTCTCAGATACCACCATTGATGACAGTATTTCAAATCAATTAATGAAGATAACTGATAGCATTGTTCAGATCATCTGAATCTCTATTGACTCATGTTTTGTTCTAGCTTTATTGATAGAAGAGTGTTAAATTATCCATCTTTCGTTCATCTTTCAGTTTCCCCATATATATATATATATTTGTAACGTCCTAAGGAATTGACCCTCTAACAGTATAAAATAGCCTTTTTATTCCTAGAAATCTTATTTTCTACTTTATTACGAATGTAGCTAAGCCTCATTCAAGAAGATAGTTTTTTATTTACTCACTTTCAACCTATTCACATTTATAATTTTTTATTATAGTTTCTTTTGTGTGTATATATACCTGTATGTGCAATCCATGGTACACGTGGGAAGGGTAAGGGGAATGAACAACTTTCAGGCATCAACTTTCCTTCACCATGTAGGTCTAAAGAACTGAACTCAGGTTACTATGCTCGGTGGCAAATGCCTTTATCTGCTGAGCCATCTCACTGGCATCTATGCAGGGGTTTTTGTTTTAAAGAATGTTAGCATTTAATTAATCTCCCTCTGTGGCTTCAAGTCATCAGGACACAGAAACTCCCAACACCCTTAATCTCCTCAGCTCTTCCTCTGAAGCATCTGGCTTTCACAATGACAGCCTGCTTAGGGAACTTTCTCTTCCACAGAACTTTGTGGTATCAGGATCATACTACATCAGTGATTGACCTAGCTCTGGTCTTGTTTTTGGCAGCTTACCACATCTGCTTACTGACCAATGTTCACAGTTTATCCAGGTTGATAGTTGGGCAGAAGCTCTGGTTCTTTCTAAGTGATAATGTTTCATACCAACTTCCCCAAAGTCACCTGAATGGTACTTGTCAAAGTTGATCCTGTGGGGATGCATGCTGTCAGTGTTACCCTGACCTCCTGGCTGCTTCTAATGCTGACTGATACAGTCATGGCCAAGAAGTCTTCTGGGTCTTCCTCAGTCTGGGTGACATAGCAACAGCCATAAGGAAAAAGCTTTTTTCCTTTAAAGACAGGATCTCACTGTATTATTCCTGGCTGGCATGGAAATGACTCTGTAGACCAAGTTGGCCTTGAACTCAGACAGAGCCACCTGCCTCTGCCTCTAGAGTGCTGGGATTAAAGGTTTGCAGAGTCATCATGCACACCTAGGGTCCTCAAGTGGCAGGATTACAGGCACATACGATGA